GAACAGAAGATACTTAAGGTTCTCTTTGCTCTCTAGAAAAATCACAAAGCTTAAATAGCAAATACATTTGAAAAAAACTAACAGGAGGAATATGCTGACTGTTTTTTTCGATTAAACCCTTTGGCTGTAAGGCAGTGAATAATGTATTTGTTGAATAATTTATTATGAAGGTTTATTGATAAAAATGACCTGCCTTCAGTACGGCTCCTAAACATCTGCAGGGGAGCTGCAGAGAAGCATAAACTAAAGTGAAGACAATTTCTACATTTGAGAAGCAAATCAATTTCTTGCTTATTCATGTGTCAGATGTAATGTCAAATAATTCATCAGATCATCACTAAGGAGACATACTGTATTTGAATAAAGGATGCATGTCAGCCATCCACTTTGCTCAAATTGTCTTAATCTGTTGGAATATGCAACTAGTGCAACATGAATACTGCCCGTTGGTGTAAAACGCTGTGGTCCCATTCTGTGAGTTGAAAGAGATTAATTCACAAAGAACTGTGACATATACATTTGCACCAACATGCTTACCAGCTTTGCACATGTAAGAAAATTTAATTAAATAACCAGTAACACTTCACTAATACTTTCCAACTTTCCAAGGGCAAGCTGATTTAACATATAATATATAAAGTTGAGAGTATTCACGTTAAAGCTATGTGCACTACATTTATGACTTTTTTTTTATTACATTTTGACTTGCAAGAATGAACCATTGAGAATCTAATCAATGCTATCTACAATTTAGTTTTGAATCCCCATACAAACTAATAGTTAATTCTTACTATTCAAAAAGTCATTAGCGATATTTTAAATAAAAAATGTGAAATACATATAAAATCATAATTCTGGTGGTTGAGTGTTTTAAAATGCAAACCACTATGATTGCAACATCCCTGGTTTGAATCCAGCCCAGGGACCTTTCTTGCATGTAATTCACTCTCTCTCTCTTACCCCTTATTTCCTGTCAACCCTTGACCGTTATTGAATAAAAGCAAAAAGAATTGTGAGAGAAATTGTGTAATACCTGTAACGTCATTATAGATACTGAAGGATTTCTGACTAGTTAAAATCTATTTTGGAGATACCTCAAATTATTGCTCCTACCAGTCAGTGTAATTGCACATATCTTTAACCAGTTACATTGTAATTGTGACTTGAGAGACTAGAGATAGTAAAGTGAAACTTTATACAGATTATATTAGCTCTCATGGAAACCCTGAATCAACCACCTGAGATCAGGAAATCAGAGAATTTTAAGTCCATCTTCAACTTGTCTTGAACTGTACAGAAATGTGAAAAGAAACAAAATCACCTGAACTAAAAAAGTATCATCAATTAACAATGTAATTTACAGGTCATACTGTAAGCTTATTACCAAAGGCCATTTCTCAGGTCCGTTTCAAAGGTCAGTTCAATAAGGACCTAATTAAAGTAGCAACATCAGCACATGTAGGCTCCCTCCCCTGTGACACTCACATAAACAACTTAAGCAGGTAATTACAAGACAAGAGATTAAATTATTTTCCACTGAGGGTGTGTGAGCCATATAGTGTTAGTTGTTGTATTTATGGAGGCATAACTTTTTTATGACGTGCTCGTGCTTCCACCTGTCCCTATAGATCAATACAATAATGGAACTCCTTTGCAAGATAGCACACCATAACACAGCTTTCCCTTTCATTTTATATCCATAAACTTCATAACAAAGTTGCTGACATAAGTCAGCCATGACAGTCCCTTCAATTACATGACACTTGAGAAGAAAGGAACATGATGGATTGGTGTCAACACTCTGAGACAGAAAGCATGGGTTGCCCATCTGTCAACAATCTCAATTAACCACTGTACAGATAGAGGCACTGCTCTTTTATGCAACACTATGAAATAACAACAAGGGTCTCTATCGCAACGGTGGCCGAGATACCATTTTTATGAAGAGAAAACTGTGTATTCAAGTGAGCTGGACTGGTCCATCCATCAGCGGGGGAAGGGGTGTGTGTCAAATTGAAATCTGACATTTAGAGCCTCAACGCCTTTGCTCACTGGCACTGATATGAACTATAGCAAGTGACAAATTGTTTGTATCATCAGGCCTGTCCCTGGGTAAAGCCTCTGATAATGTTCAGGGTTGAAATAGACACCCTTGACATTTCGCTGAAAGGTCAGGTTTTGTGTTCATTAATGCTCCCGTTTTACATACACCCAGCAGAGGGGATGAGGATTATTGTCTTAATCTGGGTTTGTGCCAACTCATGAATGCTGCCTCATTTGTTTTAACGCCTTTCAATATCAGGACACAAAGAGTCATGCACAACGGTGACACACCGTCAGGAGCAAGATCACAGGACGGTTTTGCTGAGGCCGTCTGCTGATTCAAATGGTGTCACGTCTGTGAAGTTTCAACTGTTTTGTGTACCTCTGTACAAACTGTCAAAAAGCTGATTTTATTAGCAAATAAACAATTTGCAGCTGTTTCCTTAAATATTACAATAAATACAAAACTCATCACTCTCTCTGCGTGTGAGAAGATCTCTGACAGTTTCACAAGGAAAAACATCCAGGATTCATTTGGTTCAGTAGCAGGGTGTCTGTTTAGAGCGGAATTAAGAATACCTATCTGTAATTCATTTAATGTCGGTACCAGACAAATTAGTGTCTTGGATCCGGAGCTAATAAACAGCTTGAAGCGGCGTCAATATGTACACAGTCCCACATTATTGCTGATAGCGTGTGCAGCATTTTTGATTAGCCAGGCTCTTCAGGGAACAGTGAGGTAAATTGGCTCATTTTATTTCATTCTTGGTTGGAAAGCGAACACAAATAGATATCCAAGTCATCTTTCACTTATAGTTGAGGATCTAGTATGAAAATCTGACTTTATTTTGGACACAAAATAGTCATTCACTTCCTCAATTTACCCCTAATTATAATAGTATATGTAGTAAGACTATTGAGGCTTTTGATCTGTGGCTCTCAACACGCCTGGATTACCGAACAGCCAGAGCCGGCAGCTGTCCATCTATGTCCAAATTTGTGATTTGAATTTTTAAGATAAACTGAAGGATTAAGACACTTTTCCAATTTCTTGAGCTAAATAAACCATTTAAAAACACTGGCTTATATGAAAAATGCATTGCCACAAAGGTGAAAACAAAGTTGATTGTTGAAATGTTGGCACAGAAATAGATCCCTATGATGTTAGCTAAGAGCTAATCCTGGGGGACTCAGAGACAAACATATGATATTTATGTAAAATGTCAGTTTATTTTAAAAGCTTTAGGAAACTCCTGCTGTTTTGCCCCAATAAACATTGCATTTGGTTAGTGCAAAGTTACCATGAGTCAAAGTCAACATGGCCACATTTACGAGAATAATAAAATAAAGGAATTTCACCTTGCTTTATTACCTGATCTTGATGAGCAGCACTGTATCAAAATCTTGTTTTAAGCAGTGATGAAAAAAGTATTAAGATGTTTTGCTTAAAGCTGGAGTGTGGGACCTTTGCATAAAAATGAACATCTGTTACATTCAGACCTTTGTAAAACAAGTTCACACAAAGCTCATTAAACCTATCACCACTAGGTAAATCTCTCTGAATTTCTGTATATCTGTCTAGCATAGGGTTAATATACACATTACACTGAGATGGGCCCAGCAGCTAATTTTGGCCTTAGCGCCCTCTAGCAGATTAAAGAAATAGTTCTTGCTGAGAGTTAAATGTGAAGATCAATACCACTGGCTTAGCTTACAAAACAGGGGGAGACAGTTAGCCTGCTACTGTCCAGAGGTATAAAATCCAGCTACCAGCACCTCTATATCTCATGAATTACATTTCATTTGTTTGATTCATACAAAAGCTGAATTGTAAAAACAACAAGTTTGTAAGTTTCAGTGACATCTAGTGGTGAGGGTTGCGAATTACAAAAAAACTCCTCACACAATGTTCCACAAAAATCCACAATGATTATATCCTTTACTTCTGCCGTCATCTGTCTGTATCTGTACGACCAAATCCCGACATGTCTGGCTTCATCGTGTAATCGATTCTTTGACAACGAAGATCCACATGCTTTCGGCTTGTGCTAAATAATAGGTGTAGTCCTCCATTTGTCCAAATTTCCCTTGTGTTCTTAGTTACAACTTACAGCAACCTAATAACAAAATGCGCGCTGTAGTGCTGTTTGTCCATTTTTGGCTACTGTAGAAACATGGCGACACAACATGGCGACCTCCATGGAAGGGGGGGCCCTCGGTTATGTAGAAAGAAATGTCTCATTCTAAGGTAATAGAAACATAACGGTTCCTTATGTAAGGTTTTTATACACCACTGAAAACATAGTTATGGATCTTATATTGCGTTTCTGTCAATAAATCCTTAGAAATATTACACACTGGATCTTTAAGGGGTATTATGTGCTGGACTATTTCTGACTTACTAAAGTGACCTGTCACTTTGTTTTTCAAGCACCAAAAAACTACTTGTTTAAAACTTTCATTATTTCATCTGATAGTGAGCTTATATGTTGCCTATTACATTAATCGCATTACAACACAGCAAACTTGGGGCAATATCATTGTCTGGTGTAAGAATACTGTACACATTACACACAGTGGAAGTAATGCAAATAGTCTTTGCTCTAGGGCCTCAAAGCAGGTTAATCCAGGCATGGCTCTCAAAGATTTCAATGTATCTCATATTTGATGTTAATTTTATTAAAAATAAAGTGGTGTTTTAAATGGGATTTAACATCCCACTTGTACAAACAATGTTATATATAAATAATATATGGATATTGTTGTAATTTTGATGTTGTTTGTAGTTTCAGTTTTAGAAATCACGACTCGTGACATGTCATGTCAGCTGACTTCTCCTGTTTTCACCTGAACCTGGGCGCTTCCTTGTTTGTAGTAAAGGAATAAATGCGAAACGTCATTGGACAGTTCCACGCGCATTTTGAGTTTATTGGTCCAGATTTACGTCAATCATCCAGGTGGGGTGGGCTGAAACGTTTTACATGAGGAAATAGATCCAAACGCAAAAACAGTCGATTATTATCGTTGTTCGAGAAGTGTCGAGTTTAAAAATAAAAATGTACAGAGCTGCGTTTCTCCTCGCGCTCGTCTCTTCAGTCAGTCCTGCTGCGGACGCGTTGGACAATGGGCTGGCGCTGACACCCACAATGGGCTGGTTGCACTGGGAGAGATTCTTGTGTAATATCGACTGTGACAAGGACCCCGATAACTGCATCAGGTAAGAGACAACAGAGGTGTCAGAGGTGATCCAGCACTGTCTGACATGTTTGTGAGCTAAAACACAAGGAAACGTACTCAAGTACCACATATCAAACATAGCATATCGTCCATTGAATTGTCTGTGAAACGATCACATAAAAGTGATTCAATATGAATGAAAGCGCTTAAATATAGTGCAACGAGTCACGTGGGATTTTACCGACCGTACCGGAAGTGATATATTGAAAGCACAAAAGTGTAGTAATTGTGGTAATTAATCTATAGACGCACATTGGATTCACAAAAGAAAGAAAATCCTTACCTAACTAATTATTCCGTTGTGTAATTATTATTCCATAATTATGACATCTATCTTGCAGCCTAATTATTTTTATTTCATAAAGACTGTATCAGAAGGAAAGAAAACTGGATCACAAATGTGATTGTAAAAGCACTGGACGCATTTGATAAGGCAGTGCTATAATGCCTCTGTTTAAATTTGCCTTTATTTGGTCTTTGGCTTGAGGCACTGGGAGATATTGATGTGTGATGTAATGACCTAAATTGTAAAACTCACTCTTTATAATCAAGGGACATAAACGTCTGCACACATTTCGTGGAGTTCAATCTGTAAGGTAATATGGTAACCTATGTACAGGGACAGACCAGATTAATTGAAAAAACACACCGAAAATAGAACATTGATCTCAAGTAGATCAGTGTTTTACCTTGTAACCTTCCCAATGCTCCCAATATTCCCTACAAGTCAAAGTACCAGGTTTTTCTCACAACTAATGATTACTTTTATAAGTGATTAATCTGTTGGTTATTTTCTTGAGTAAATGATTCATAGTTTTGTCTATTAAAATTTCTAAATGTTAGAAAGAAATGCCAATCCAGAGCACAAAATGACTTCTCCAGTCCAGTTCACAAGATATGTAGTTTACCATCATGGAGGACAAAAAAAAGCGGCAAATCTTCAGATTTGAGAAGCAAATGGTTTTTATTTGCTCCAAAAATGATTTACCCAATCAGTCGATTATCATAATAGTTGCAGATTAACTTTCTTATGATGGACTGATCAATTACATGACTAATGATTGCCGCTCTAGTCATAAGTGTCAAGTTTTTTTGTTTACGGAGCACTTCAGAAGTAATGCAAGATCCTGCTCTGTGTTTTATTTTAGGGACATCTTGTTCAGTCAAAAAACTCCCCCAAAATCCTCTATGCTGATTAGTGAAACACATACAATGCCTCACTTCCTGTGCACAGCAAATGTTTTGTTTCTTTTGCCCAGAAAGGTCAACAAAACGTTGCAAACACCTAATGTCAGCCTGCAGGTTGAATCAGTCGACAGTGGAAAAACAGAAAAACTGGCATTTGTTTTTAGGAAAATAACATGTATTTGTGTCTGCCATATTGTTCTTGCACATGACATTGAACACTGGCATCTAACTGATACTATCAGCCCCACCTGTCTCCTCCTGTTGCCCTGGCAGCGAGCGTCTGTACATGCAGATGGCAGATGTGATGGTGAAGGAGGGCTGGAAAGAGGCCGGTTACGAGTACGTCTGCATCGATGACTGTTGGCCCTCCCACCAGCGTGATGCCCAGGGCCGCCTGCAGGCAGACCTCAAAAGATTTCCGGGGGGCATCAAGAAACTGGCCAACTATGTGAGTATAAAAGAGGCTGGATGTGTATATACTATTAATGCCATAATTCCTCCATAGATATCAAAGAGAGAGGGGTTCAGATAGACTTATGGAAATATTTAAATTTCACTAGCTGGAAGGAGCAAAATGAGAATATGTACTATAGTTTCTATTATGAATGGTATACACAGTTATATATTGGTAAACTATGTAATGTTTAAAACATTTTTCCCACAGATGTGATTCCACGAAGTGCCGTGTTAACAGATATGTGGTGCAATGCGTCTAACTTTGGAAACCTTTGGGAAATACAAACTTTGGGAAAGCCTGGTTAAAAACTCTAGAAGTAAAAGTGATTACACAGTCAGACTACATATTCATTATACATCCATCTGAGCCGACCAGCAGTTATTTACATAATGAAGGGGGAAAGGACCAGATGTGGAACACGGGCCTCAGATTTCATACCGGTGGAAATTCAGCACCTGGAGCCAATAGAGGAATATTGTCTTAGGTAGGAGTAAGCTGTCGTTCCCCCTCTCTGCTATAGTCACAGTGGAGAGGAGCTCGCTGTGACAGGCTGAGTCTTACACAGGCAGCTAAAAGGCGATGTTCACCAGGAAAGGGCCCACTAAGGTAAAAATGTGTCCTGGCACAGAGGCGTCAAGTTTCTAGCTGAGCAACATCGCCACCTACTGGCACTTATCCAGAACCTGCCCAGAACAGAACTGCAGTCAGTACTTGTATTAACTAAATAAAAATTTATTTTTTTCTTCCTGTTTTAAGGTCCATTCTAAGGGACTGAAGCTGGGTATCTATGCAGATGTGGGGAAATATACCTGCGGTGGATACCCAGGCAGTCTGGGCTACTATGAGACAGATGCTCAGACTTTTGCTGACTGGGATGTGGATCTACTAAAATTTGATGGCTGCTACATGGACTGGACCCTTTTGGGAGAGGGTGAGTTTTTATTTATGAAGTATAATTTAAAATTATTTGATTGATGCTGGTCCCCACATAGGCTGTCAACTCAGTCCCTGATTATTGCTATGTACTTCACCTAAAGCAAATGTTACTTTACAAAGCCCATTGATATATATACAGTACAGTAGGTAAATACGCTTGATATGTTCACATGACTTAACTCTAAAATTACATCTTTATCAATGTTCTGGGTCCCTTTTTCTAATTCTCCTCTCATGCAGACCCTTCATGGACAACTAGAAAAGGTGTTGTATGGGGTTTAATCTATCTATCTATCTTTATGATTTGTTCTGGTTAAGGCTACGTGAACATGTCGAAAGCACTGAACAAAACCGGAAGGAGCATCCTGTACTCCTGTGAGTGGCCTTTGTACGAGTGGCCTTATCAACAGGTGAGACAGATATTGTTTGTTTTTACCCCTCTTAAATTAGAGCTGCAACAATTAGTCGATCGACAGAAAATTAAGTGAAAGTGAATCCCTTTTTAAACTAAGCACTGTAGCACTGAACATGCTTTTAGTTATTTTTACAAATTCTGACATTCTCTAGCCAAAACAATTACTTGATAAATCGCAATAATCAGTAGATTAAGTGAAAACGAAAATAATTAGTTGCAGCCCCACTTTAAATCTCAATATACATTATCATGTCGGGTTTATTTTCCAAGATTCTACCCACACAACGGTAATTATTAATGATTATCAGCTGCATAATTAAGAGCACTTCTGTGTCTGCAGCCCAACTACACAGCCATTCGTGAAACGTGCAACCATTGGCGCAACTTCGCTGACGTGTATGACTCATGGAGCTCTGTCAAGTCCATCTTTGACTGGACTGCTTCTCATCAAGACATCATTGTCCCCTCAGCTGGACCTGGGGGCTGGAATGACCCCGATATGGTCTCTACTCGAGCTCTTACATACACTCCTCTCTCTGACCTCCAACTAAGCATAGAACCAGTGGCCTTCAAGTGCCAAGCTGTTTAATTAGCATTTTAAAAACCTCATTAATTCACTTGAAGACAGAGTGCAAATTTGTTTCTGAACTGGAGGTCCACTGGCACTTGTAGGAATAGTTTAGCATTTTGGGAAATCAAGTTATTGTCTTGCTGAGAGGAAGATAAGAAGATTGATACCACTCGTAGTCTGTACAGTTAGTATGAAGTTACAGCCAGCAGCTGGCTGAGCTAGCTTATCACAAAGACTGGAAACAGCTAGCCTGGCTCTGTCCAAAGGTAAAAAACCACAACACATCATTTTTACACTTTTGGTACAAATAAAGATGCAACGTGTGAATGAATTACTTTTAAAAGTGTTTGTAGGTTGATTTTGTTACTTTTGGACAGAGCCAGCCGAGTTTTTTTCCTTGTTTCCAGTATTTGAGCTAAGCTGCTGGCTGTTACATTCCTGAGTAGTATGGATCTTCTTATCTAATTCTTGGCAAGGAAGTAAATGCGCATATTTCCCCAATATTGAACCATTCCTTTAAAATGTCAATGCCTTAGCTGAGGCTCTTGTATTTACTTTCTTTATTTATATAGCTTATACATTTAAATTTCGGTTATCAAACGGTAGATTCAGTAAAAATAAAGTAGGATTATTTGTGTTAAAAACCCCACACACACTTGCAGTAAGACTGAATTTACCTGTTATTTATGACTTTGGTCCATTTCTCTAGCTCGTGATTGGGAACTTTGGCCTGAGTCACGCCCAGCAGGAGTCTCAGATGGCGTTATGGGCCATCATGGCAGCCCCTCTTCTCATGTCTAATGATCTGAGGGACATTTGTCCTCGCTCCAAGGAGTTGCTGCAGAACAAACACATCATAGCCATCAGCCAAGACGTACTGGGCAAGCAAGGATACCGCACTGTCAAGGTGGGTGGGGAGGTGACGCAAAGCAACTGGCAGCCTTTATGGAATATTTAGTTTCTATTTAGAAATGCTTAATGGTCACCTTGGAAGGGTCTGACACACAAACAAAGACTTTTTAGTAATTATCTTAATGAAATCGATCAATGCAAGTGACATTTATGTAGTAATGGCAATTGTAAGTATGGAACATTACTATTTTTTTATTGTCAAAGGAATAAAACAACTTGCTCTACAGGTGGACAATTTTGAGGTGTGGGAGAGGCCTCTGTCGAAGAACAGACTGGCTGTCGCTGTGCTAAACATGTGGGAGATCGGTGGTCCCCGAGGGTTTGTCATCAGAGCAGTTCCTGGCTGGAAGATCTGTGACCCCCAGTGTAACGTCACACAGATCCTGCCTCAGTACAAAGAAATGGGTGTTCAAATTCCACAAAGCAAAATGGTTTTATCTGTCAACCCTTCAGGCACCGCTCTACTGACTGTCACTCCCATCAGTAGCGACTTTAATAGCCTTCACAAGCTGCACTGGCAGGACACGTCAGTCCAACGCAAGCGCACCATTTTGTAGCGGTGTGGGCGATTATGCACTTTTGCTGCCTACACTATAAAATTGTTCTTTTAAAATTTTAGTTTCTAAATGTAATAAAGGGGGAAATGTTTTAGTCTATAAAGTCTGCTTTAATACCACAAGAGGTGGACAGATGATACCGAAGGTAGTTTCACAACACTGTGCAGGAGCTTCTTTCAAACAGTATCACATGACTGACAGTATCTGAAGCTTCAAACGTTACTGGTGCTTCGGAGAACGCTTCAGTTTGACAGTTTCAGCAAATGAGTGGGATAAGAAATTACTGATGTACATAAAATATGAAAAACTGAAAATATTCCATCCCAATACCATGTAACAAATTTTCTCAAGTTATATAAATTGTGACTAAGAAATGACAAGCCATGAAGTTTGAAAACATGATCCCACCACAGTAGTGACCAAATTACACTGAAAGCAAAAGTATTATCCAAGCTTTCTGCACATCGATAAATAATTCAGCACTTCTGAACAAGTTTAATAGATTTCTTCAATTTATTGCATACATAAGACAAACTTAATTTGGTGGTGCTCCAGCCTTAGAAGGGCTACTATAAGTTTTACAAGCCACCAGGTGTCCCCGTTTTCTCAGTTTGAAACCCCAAAGCTTCAGGCTTCTTCTGTCCATCATGACAGTACGGTTTCATCTTGTTAAATAAGTCACTGGTAATTGTTTTTGCACACTTGCTGTGAAATGTCCAAACTAGGCTGCTAATAGGTCAAATTATGTTGATAACAAAACATCTGACAAGTATTGTGAAACAGAGGTAAAGAAGAGGCCAAACACCAAAGTATGTTTTCAGACATTTATTGAAAATAGTGACAGCTTCCTCCAGAAGACGGAGCCACAGTTTAGAACTGGATGACCTGGCCCTGTAAGAGAACAGATAAAAACCTTAGTTAAAATGATGCTTAAACATGTTGTCAGTGATGTATGGTTTACTCTAAATGCTGCTGGAAATGACTGATTATGAATTTATGCATTATATTCAAATAAAGATGGTTTTGAAACAGTCTCCATATTTGTCATCTTACTCTGATCCTAACACTTTGGGTCAGTGTGGCACTGTAGGATGGGTGGACAGGAGTTCACTATGAAAACTAATTAGGCAAATATGCTATATTAGGTGTCCACTCATCCTATTATATTCCACCCTCAGTCAAAGTAAGGTCTTCCACAAGCTCATCCTTATGAAATGATGCTTTAATTAAAGAATTGCAAATTTCTCTTCAACCCTTTGTGGGGCTATCAGGGTTCATGAGATAACTGCTTAGCAGCAGTTCTTTGCATTTTACGATTATGGTGCTACAGGAATCACAATTACACCAAATTATGACCCAATTTTCCCTCAAATTACATCCTTACTTGACCCTTCCTTACGATCAGTTCACAAGCATTTATGGTTAACAGTAATATTAGAAGCTACAAGGCACTTAAATTATGTGAGGGTTTACACTGCAAGTATTGACACTTAAAAGTAGTTCTAGATTCACTGCAAAATTAACACATTTGCATTATAAAGCTGTCTAGGACACTTGCTACAAAACCGGGCATAATGCAGATTAGACCAGGCCAATCTGGGCCATTTCCTTAATGTTTACAGCATGTTAATGTGGTATTGACTTGATGTAAAATACCATATCATCATGTTCCCCCGTGTTGGCAAATTAGACCAACATTTTGGTAACCGATTTTTCCTCTACACGGGATGTCAACATGTCTAATTACTAAAATTCTAAACAAACTGTCAGCAAAATAGTTTAAGTTAGTGGATTGAATTTCATTGTTCACATTATTTAGTCTCATTGTATTTAATCTCATGTGAGCTGTATGTAATGTACACTTTAAAATGCAGATCAAATACCACTGACAATTCCTATTACATTCAACGCATTTCACCCCACAAATAAAACCCTGGAAACTTGCTATTGACAGCAAAATGACGCCTTCCATACATGTGTCAGGTACAATATTTGTGACGCAAGACTGGTTCAATCAATTCCTCATTCTCATGGACATGTTTCCTACACATCTGATCCTTCCTCTGCATCATGTTTCAGAATGTGAACCAACTTTAACAGCCACTATTGTCAGAATAGGGTTATATTGTCAAACATCTGTCACTCAAACCTCATTCCTCAATGTTTGTTCCTGCCTAACATTGTCAATTTTTACAACTTCTGTGGAAATGTTTAAGCATAAAAATTCCACACTCACTAGTTAACATGCAGAAAGTTGTGTTGAATAAAATTCAAATTCTATGCTCTAAAAGAAAATCCAACTGGGGTGCCGTTTACCTCCTATTGTTACATATTTTACCTGATATTTTGTCAGTGATCCAGCAAAACCTAATAAACAAAATCTAACATTAGATGTAAGTTTTTGGGATCATTTTTCATAAATCATTGTGATGTCCAGCATAAAGTGAGCAGGACTTTCAAGAGATGACAATTTCAAACCCATTGTCTGACAAGATGTGAATGTTTTTGTGGCCATTTCTTAGATCCACAATGTGTTTACTCAATAACCCTCTACTGAACATAGTGAATTAAAAGTGAGACAACCTTGCATTCACAGGTTGATCTAGATAAATTAGACAGAGTTAACCACGGAGAATCCAGGATGTGATTTTTGGTTGCTGTGCATAGATTTGACTTGAGACTTCAAATTATACAATTCTGAAAGCATTCAAGCGCTTTGAGAAGTACCCATAAAGCAGTGCACTGTACGAAGGCACATGCTTATGTTACCAAATAAGATCTACAACGCTTACCTTTCTCTTCTTGTCACCACCCAACTCAAAGTGCTTGCATCTCTTGATGGCCAGCATTCTCTTGGATCTGCAGTTGGGCTCCACACACTCAAGTCTCAACACAATCTTCTTTGTAGTCTTAGCCTAAAAAGACAGTATATCATTGGATCCGATTTCACAACAGAACTGGTGCAATACTTGACTTCAGATAAACCAGAACTGGAAAGCTGAGCATACCTTCTTTCTGAAAATGGGCTTGGTCTGACCACCATACCCGCTCTGCTTTCTGTCATATCTCCTCTTACCTGCAGAACATGTACAGTTCAGCTACATTTCGTAATACAGCTCATTTCACACAGTATATAACAACTCATTAGCATGGGATTATTTACCCTGTGCATAGAGGGAATCCTTTCCCTTCTTGTACTGGGTAACCTTGTGGGGTTGGTGCTTCTTGCACTTCTTGCAGTATGTCCTGCGGGTCTTCGGGACGTTCACCTGGATAGCACAGAAAACAAAAAATTAAGAGATTAGCAATACACCTGATAGGACTGAAAATGTGTGGCAATTTGCTAAGTTAACCATATTGATATCCAAAGATAGTGAATGAAAGCCTCCGTCAACGGGACTGGTTGATAACTGTTAACAGTTAATTTGCGTTATCAAACTAGCTAAGGTTAGCTAAAACGTTACGTGAAGCACAAGGGGACGTTTTTCCCCCCCCCCATTTCAGACTGTCGATACCGTGTCACAATGGCACACTGAAAACCTACCCTAGTAGACGAGGTGTTTTATCATTTTATCCGTACGCGCTACGGCCAGGGTAAAGGCAGCTAACGTTAGCCGACAAGGTACCATGTTAGCATTGTAGCTATTTAATGTGAAGTCAGTGCGAGATTTATGTGTAAACTTGTGTCACAGCAACAATGCAAAAACTGACACGACAGTTGTTTGCCATAAATTACTTCGATTGACATTTAACCATAATTTTCCTTAGAACAAAGGCCGGTTAGAGTGGAGGTATGCTAGCAGCGGTATTTCATCACCAACACAGCAAGCATTTCTAAATCACTATTTAACGACGTAAAATGTGCACAATATGGCCAATATTGCCATCACTATGTGTGTCGAAACCTTGTTAACACGTATGATTTAACTACACGCAGAAATGATTCCTTAATCTGCAAGATTGAGTTTGATTCTATAAAGTGTATTGGTGTAGTAATTTCATACCATGGTGGCGACCCGATGCAGAGGAAAAGAGGAAGGTCGAGGCCGGAAGGACTCCCTAATGTAGGCCTCAGCGGTAAACAGCCTTTACAACCTGTACAGACTGCCCCCTAGCGGCGGGATGTTTCAGGAGGCCAAAAGCTTCAAAGAAACAAACTAAACTAAACAGCTCAAAGTTTAAGGAAATGCAGGGAGTTATAAATTCAGTATGTGTTTAACACAATGAGCATACTTTGTAATGTCTGCAGAAGTTTTCAGTTTGAAGTTGTTTTATCTCTTGTGCCTGCAATACTCAAACTGGCAGCAGACTGAACAAGAAATCTCCTCAAATAAAAGTGCGTGACTTTAACTATATGCCATATACAAATGTGGACCTGTGTTAATGTTTAGTCTGCTTAGGCCTTTCACCAAAACTGTCCACAGGGCTAATATGAAAATGAGCAGGAAGAAAAAGGGGAAGTAAGCGGAGTCGATTCCTCTCTGTGGGTGGGTTTAAGCTTCTTGCATCACAAAGCAACACACATTTTATGGAAGGCGAGCAACTGAGGCAAAGGTTCATGCCACCACTTCAAGCCTCAGCATCTGCAGTTGTATGTCTGATGCTTGAATTTTCTGGGTCTCTGGGTAAGTGACAAAGCTCTTTGAATGTAGGCTGTAAGGTCGAGAAGTATTTTTAGGCATTAGTTCACCAAAGTATAACTGGTAAAGGCAGCTATGTGAATGCATTTCATTTGAAAGGCTATAGACAAAAGCAGTAGTGAGTAATGTATACATTTGTGCAAGTACTGAATTGAAACCCACAGTTTTTATGCAAATCCTAAATTAAGTGTGTACTCACCAGACACTTACATATAAGTCAAATAATAGTGACATTATCTGCTAATATACACAGATGTCATGCTCAGTGTTGCATGTTGTATTTATATTTTGTATAGATACATCTTGCAGCACTAGAGTGGTTTAGATGTATGGTGGGGTTATAATCAGATAATGTTTCAAGTGGTTACCATATTAATCTACACATGACAAATTATTTGTTTGCTGTGAATTAGTAAGAACATGATATACAATAACAAAAAGTGGTTTCCCTAAAATGTATTTGCATCACAGCTAATTCTCATTCCACATTACATTTGTTTATTCTGAAAATGGACCTCCACAGAACACCATATGTTAAATTGCTGCGGTATCTTAACATGTGTGGGAGAGCAATTCTTTGTGGTTAGTCTTAAATCTTATCACTTGTACTTAACATCCTTGTCACTCTCTTTTTCTCTCACTGTCTCTTTCTTATACACCCAAACACACACACGCACACTTTTTTTTTTTTGCATTTACCACTTATCTCTCAGGAAACGTCAGGAAAGAGAGCATCTTGACAGGTTCCTGTGTAACCAAGTCGTCTCTGGTTGTGCTTGCTGTGTCATACACAGGGGATATTATGCAACAAAATAAATAACTGCATTCTAATTTAAAAAAAAACACGATCATTAGTGTTCATAACTTCTTGAATTCAAGCCTTTTCATTTTAAAATATGTTGCAATACCCTGCATGCACGGAGGTAGTGACACAGTTGGCAACAATTATTGGTTATAAAGATCAGTTGCCCATCACTCTGAAAGTCAGAAATATAGGCTATTAAAATATGTGTTTGGTTGTGATTGGTGATTCTATGACATTAAAACAGTTATTTAGAGGATACATTTTTGCTACTTTTGAGTTTTGGGTTGCGGAAATGTGTGCATTTTTTAAAAATATAGTTTTTGAGCCCAATTTCTTAACAGACAGAGTCAAATGGCACCCAATAACACATAAGCAACTGAAAGGATAAACATTAGAAAGTGAGAAAAAAACATGTCTCTGCTAAATGTAAAAGCGTTGTGGTGTCATGCAGAAGTGAATTCTGCGAAATTTAAATAAGCGAGTACTGTACATAGTTGTCAGCGCGTAATAGCATGAAACACAGATATGTGAGAAGGAAATTAAATCCCATTTGATAAAGACATAAAGTCAAGTTTAAGTGCTGCAGGGTGCTGGGTTTCTTCTCTATTCATATTGCAGTACAACACTGATGCAACTTCCCTATGATATGCCTGTCAGCTACCATTAGTCAACTGTCCTCAAAAAAGACCCAAAAAAATCTCCTTTTGGTAGCCATGATACAGTGAAAGATAGACGTACAGTTTCACTCGACTGGCTCCAATCGATCACAGTAAAAGAGAGGAGGGATGGTACACTAGTCTTTTGATTATCTACAGAGTTTGTTGACCTCTACTCAAGTTAGTGATGTGAGAAAACACTAGGTGGTGACGCATGAGGAATAAATAAATGTTTCACAGAATGAGGAACTAATGCTGTCTGCTCATGACGGCACAAACAATACCAATAGGTACTGTCAGTCTACTGTGAAGAAATGTCACACTCCTGGTTAGCGGGGAGCAACAGAAGCTTCTGGTAACGTTACAGTTAATTCAGATGCTACAAGGAAGTGCTCACCAGCTGAAAATAGGCTGTGCAAACGCATCTGACAAAGAGTAACAATTAGCCTTCAGCTGTGAGACGAGGGTGAGTTTCAACATCCGATAGTCCATATTTCACCTGGCAATATGACACTATGATTTTAGTGCATTGTGAACTGTTGTTGAATTTTAAAATAACATGTTTTTTAGACATTAAAGCAAAATTTTTGCTTAATAGTTATCGGTTGTAACAAAAGCTGACCCTGCTTTCCTGTTTCATAGTAGGTATTAAGTCAACACACTGACCTATCACTGGGCAAATTAGTCAACATCTCATTTCAATTTATTTCCAGTATTTGTGGCGATTCTCTTCCTGTACTGCCAGTTATTTTTGAATGAAACATTCACCAACTGTATATAGTGAACTATGTTCCATATAGCTTACTTCAACCTTAACTGTCAAGACATTTAGAGCTTCTGTTTTTTTTGTGTTAGGAATGTTTGAGTGCTTTTATAGACATCGTCCTCATCCCTTCACACTCATCTCTGACCCTCTCCACAAGCTCTGGCATCAATACAGAACATGTCTTGTTTTGGAGTTGCAAGTTTCAGTTCAGTACTAGCGGTTAATAGGTGCTGTAAACAAAACAGAACAAGCTGTCATAAACTAAAAAGAGACATTACATCGCAGGTAAAATGTAACTGTCTGTGTGTGAGTGAATGTATGTGAGAGAGAGATGGGTAGCCTTGTGATTGTGATTGTTGTGATTGTGAGATATTTTATCTGATGACTTTGCCAGAAAACTAATTTCATTTAGATATTTTTTCTGTAAGCAATGCACACATTTTATGTGTTGAACCTAAGTTCAGGTTTACTTTTCTCATTAACCGGGTTGTTGGATCATAAAAATAGCGCGCACGCGTGTGTGTGTGTGTGTGTGTGTGTCTGCATAGTGACAGAAGTTTCCTTACTAAGCCAGTCAAATTCATCTACATTTATATGATATTAAATATACAATCACCAAAATGTTTAGATTGCAATTGAGTGTGTTTTATCCGACAAACCTTCTCATATCACAACCATCCAAGAAGTGGGTATGAAGTGGAGGAATAATGCCAACCCATCATATTAGGAATACATAATCAACAAGGGATTTGGTGGACAAACTTATCCAGACTCTCTTTACACAGTTTTCTACCACAAAAGCACTTGGGTCACTGCGCTGGTGTGATGATGGCCAAGATACAGTAGCTGAGGGAAACAGATGTTGCTGGCAGGAAAAGCAGGGCTTATGCAAACTACAGCTAATCACATGCTGATATGTGCTCGTACTCTTGCTGCATGTCTCTACATCTCTTTCCAGATCTATACTTTTACACATTATAGTGGCACTTCTCTGACTCTATGAAGGTTGTCTGTTCAAATACACCTTTCAAAGGAAGAGAAAGCACTGGATTATTAAGAGTGAAGTGACCCAAATGGCTGCCTTGTATTGCTAAGCTAAGCACAGTCTTGGCGAGTCAGTCACAGCTCTCAGCAAGTTACAGCTCTCAGCAAAGTGTTTACTGTCTGAGTCGAGGTGTGAATGTGCTGTTCACTGTTGTTCTGTCACAAAGAAAAGTAAGAAAACAAGCTGCCTTACAAAAGTATGAATTATTCCTTCTTCCTGTGTAGATTAATCCTGACTGAATCATGTCAGAAATTATACTGGAAGAAATCTTCATTAAACGATCTCAGCAGAAGAAGAAGACCTCTCCTTTGAACTACAAGGAGAGATGGTTTGTTCTCACCCCGGAAAAAATATCCTACTATGATTTTGATCCTGACAAAGGGGTACGTACGTATATGGAACTACCGAAATCCTTTTTTTGAGATAATACCACATTTGTCTCAGACTAATGTTTAATGGCAACCTGAAGAGAACTGTGCAGCTACATGTATCTGTTTTTCCTGGAGTTACCTCACTGTTTCCCCATCTGTGAAGCAGAAGCGAAAAGGTTTGAGAGGATCAGTTGACCTAGAGAAGATCAAGTGTGTAGAGACGGTCCAGCCTGAGCCCAATGCCCCGCAAGAGCGCACATTTGCATTCCAGGTAGACATTTTTGTCAAATTACATGTCTAATAGAGAGGGACTCTTACGACACCGCCTCATGACAATCAATTACAGACCAGCTGCAACAACATGTAATATTCCAGCCACCTTAAACTCTTGCTGGTCTAAAATCAGGACCAAAAACATTTCTTTTCATTCCTACCTCTATGCTCGTGTGGCAATGGTAGGCTTGTAACATGAGACCAAATGTTCTCCTTGGCAAACAAAAAGTGTTCAATCCTCCAACAGTTATTAATGTGAAAGTCCATTGTTAAGAAGTGAAACCATGTCTCACACTCAAATGTAAAACTAGGGGCTTTCAGTGACCATGCAGGTGTTGCCATTGCACACGTACACAACATAAGGTAGCATGAAAAATGTGCCTGTCTGGTGCTTGCCATAAAAGAAAACTCCCAAGTGACAGTTTTTAAAAGTTTCTGTATTGAATTGCAGAGAATATGATCATACACTAGAACTGTAATAATTTTTTGCTTCCGTCACACTAATCACAATATATTCTGGTATCACATTTACTCAGCTAGTAACTTAAGAAATAGCAAATCACCCAATGCATGGAAATGCTGTAATAGACAAACTTGACAAAACTGCTGATTTCGGTGTTTTTTTTTTTGCCACAGATCGTTTATGATGAGGGGCCGCTGTACATCTTTGCAAAGACAGACGATGTCCGTGCTCAGTGGATAAAGAAGCTGAAAGAAAGTTAGTATACAAATTTACAAAAGTATTTGGTGTCACAGTATCTCATACAGTATATGGAATATTAGACCATATCTTAATATCACCAAGTGCCTGCACAACAGAAGAGCTGGGTGCATATGCAAATGCAATGTAGATTCAATGTAAATTTCCTGTGTATGTATTCGTGTGTGTGTGTGTGTGTGTGTCCATACTTGTGCATAGTGGTGCGCTTCAACAAGGATCTCATGCAGAAGTACCATCCTTGCTCCTGGATGGATGGGGTGTGGCTGTGCTGCCAACAGGAAGTTAAACAAGCCATGGGTTGCAAGGTGCTGGATAGTAAGAACGGTGAGAACAAGATTCCCTTTGGCCTAAAACCTGCAACAATCCACAACTAGACTTTAGCCTACAGTATTCCTAAATGATTTCATTCATAAATTAAATTATGTCACCCATAGGCTTTACGTCTAAACCATCTCGGCGAAGGGGATCTAGGAAACCTCTTCCTCCTACCCCAACAGAGGTATACATGCAGTTCCTTTGGAACGATATTCACTGACTACAAACAGCCATTTTTTAATGATACATGCACTAATCTTATCTTCAGGAGAAGCCTAGTCGGCCTTTACCTCCACAGCCTCCTGAGCAACCTACCCGCTCTGTAGGCATGACTGTCATAGCAGAGTATAATTACACACCCTTGACACCCCACGACCTGGAGCTGAGGAAGGATGAAGAGTACACCATCCTGGAGATGTCTGATGCAAACTGGTGGAGAGCCAAAGACAAATATGGGTGAGATGAGTGAGATGAAAAACAAATAACGCAAGAGGCCTAACCGCTAAAAGAAAATCTATTCATTTTTAATATGAGATTAAAAATACACTGGCTACACGCTAATGACTCTCTGGTGAGAATATACAGCAGATCCTAGATGGACATACAGGTCAGACCTGCATCCACATAAAAATAACAATGGGAAAAGTGCTGTGCAAAGAAGCTCACTGCTTGTAAAAGGGAAAGTATTCATTGAGTCATTTGGAGAGCATATATTAAAATGAATGAAAACAAGATCATAAAGAGCAGGAGTGAATATGTATGGATGTCTTTTTACTGTATTTTACCAAATAAATTTTCTGGGCTACTTCTTCAGGCCTTGTGGCATATAAATAAGAAAATAAGAACATTTTATAGCATGATCAGTAAAAAAAAATATTTTAATACTGACCATCTATAATTTGATTACAATTTGCATTTAGAGTTCTAGCAGTATGAATTTGTTTATGAAACACTACTGGACGTTGGTGAGCGCTTCAGTGTCCAGCCAAGATGCACATCATTAATAAAGACAATATGTTTTGTTTTCTGTTGCAGAAAAGAGGGATACATACCTAGTAATTATGTTGTGGAAGCAGAAAATGGGCTAGAAAGATTTGAGTGAGTATGGGTACTATCGTTACTACTATTTTTATGTTAGCAGATTTATACTTGGTAAAGTTCCTTGTCTGTACATTAATGTATGTTTGATTGCCAAAGAAATAAATGCTGCAAAAACATGTTCACATTTATTTTCACAGCTGGTATTGCAAGAATATGAACCGTAGCCAGGCAGAAAAGCTGTTGAAGACTGAGGTAAACTTAATAACTGACATTCACAATTTCATAGGACGACAGCCTGAACATGTTTGTGCCCCTTCAAATTAATAAAACATAGATGGACCAAATTCAACTTGAAATATACACTTGTGTGTTGTTTTCCAGAATAAAGACGGAGGCTTCTTGGTCCGGGACTCGAGCAAGGCCGGGAAATACACAGTGTCTTTGTTTAGTAAGGGTGGTGGGTGAGTAAGCTCAGAGGTGTTGAACCCTGCGGCATGGTGCACCATTTTTATTCTGTATCCTCTGACTTCAGTCATGCACGAACGTATCAAAAGAAGAACTGTTTGTAATGAAAGCGGAAACAGTGGGCCACAGAGGTAGAGAGATGTAAATTATTCATGCAAAACCTGGACTAATCTGCCAGCATAACTTTATCATCGCAGGGCTCTAAGACGGAACTGTGTTGCGGATAACGCTGAGAAGACATTAACTACTCATTGATACATGACAAATGATATGTACCTGTGTCGATGAAAACCTGTTGACTAAATCTACTTTATGTTACTGATCCTATTCTCTCCACAGGGAAACTGGTGGGAGCTGCAGACATTATAACATCTGCACGTCCCCACAGGGCCAGTTTTACCTGGCAGAGAAGCATAATTTCAACACCATCCCAGAGCTCATCAACTACCACCAGCACAATGCAGCAGGTTAATACAGTGGCACACATACAGGATATGAAAATATAGAAACAGTCAAACATCAAAAATGTTGACCTTACAGGTGATGATGTGGTTTTGTTATTATTTCCCTAACAAGGGATGGTGAGCAGGCTGAAATACATTGTGTCTAACCGGGCGCGGCCTCCATCAACAGCAGGGCTTGGCTATGGTAAGAGTATGACTTCATCAGTTTGACTTGACTTGCAACTAACAATCATTTTCATTGTTGATGAATCTGTTGATTATTTTCTCGATTAATCAATTAGTTGTTTGGTCTATAAATATCATGATTGGTCTATAAAATGTCAGAAAATGGTGAAAAATGTCCATCAGGGTTTTCCAAAGCCCAAGATGAGTATGGAAAGTGGCAGGGCCAGCATGACGCTGCTAGATGGTTGTTGACTTTTTTACCTAAAAACTTAATCAAGCCAATAAATGGATTATCACAATAATTGCAGATTCTTTTAATAGTTGACAACTAATCGAATTAATCATTGCAGCTCCAAATTGTTAATCATTAATTTAATAGTTGACAACTAATTGATTAATTGTGCAGCTCTAACTTGTTAATCACAATGTCTGGTGATTAAACTGATGACTGATTCGAAACCTGTGTGTGGGTGTGTGTGTGCGCGCACACCAATTCTTTGAGATTGTATTAACGCTGCATGTATTAACATAATGATAATTTGTTAATAGTGTTTTGGAGCACAAGCACATTTGTCCAGTGATCGTGAAAGGAAATATTTGACATATTGGGGAATATGCTTATTTGCTTCCTTGCCAAGAGTTAGATTAGAAGATTGATAATATTCTCATGTGTGAAAGGTAAATATGAAGCTGGATATATCAGATTAGCTTAGTTTAGCATAAAGATAGCAGGAGGATCAGCTAGCCTGGCTCTGTGCAAAGGTAACAACATAGTATATCTTATTTATTTCCTCTGTACAACCACTTTTTTGTATGAGTCCCTTTTTTGTACGTGCATTTAATGAATCAAATTCAATGTGTTAAATACAAGGCTTCAGAAGTGCTGGTAGGCAGATTTTGTGAACTTTGGACAGTCAGGCTAGCTGTTTCATGATAAGCCAAGCAGCTGCTGACCATAGCTTCATATAGACATCATAATGGCATCAGTCTTCTCATCTAACTGTCGGCAAGAAATTGAAAAGGCATTTATCCCAAAATGTTGAACTATTCCTTTAAAGTAGATGCTACAAGTATAGACATGGTCCTCCATTTCTCTTGTCTGCTCTGCAGGTGTGTGGGAGATTGACCCCCGTTACCTCACCTTCATCAAGGAGCTTGGCACTGGTCAGTTTGGAGTGGTGAAGTATGGAAAGTGGCAGGGCCAGCATGACGTTGCCATTAAGATGATCAAAGAGGGCTCCATGTCCGAAGATGACTTCATAGAAGAAGCCAAAATCATGATGTAAGCAAAACTAAATGAGTCTGAATTAGGAAGGAGACATAATTTCACAGCTGAACTTATAAAAATGATTTTGTGCGTGAGACTAACTGGTGCACAGGGAAGGGGGGTTTCTCTAACTTAAGCGATGAAAGCTGACTCATAATACTTCATTTGCTTCTCCTTTTGCTCAAACCAGGAAGCTCCGTCACGAAAACCTAGTCCAGCTGTACGGCGTGTGCACCAAACAAAGGCCCATTTATATAGTGACAGAGTTCCTTTCCAATGGCTGCCTACTGACGTACCTGAAGGAGGGCTTGAAGCAGCACCCAACAGCTGTCCAGCTCCTAGAGATGTGTAAAGACGTCTCTGAGGGCATGGCCTATCTTGAGTCGAAGCAGTACATCCACAGAGACCTGGTGAGAGACATTGTTACACTTAATGATAATGATAATAAACTGTATTTATATAATACAAAAACTAAGAACAATAGTATCAATAAAACAACACATAGAATAAGCAATAAAACACAAAACACAGAAATAAAAGATAGCAGTAAAGATAAAACAATAAAAATGGTGTGAGAAGATATGTATTTAAATAAACAGAGTTTGTTTTGTCCTCAGGCTGCCAGGAACTGTTTAGTAGATGGCAATGGCACCATCAAAGTGACTGACTTTGGACTGTCAAGGTAAAATACTTCACATAAATTATAGGATACTGTGGTATATAGGGTATTACTCTACTGTAATGCAGTACAATTTCTCCTTTCCAGGCACTTTTCTTTATCTGTGCTGGTTTATACTTTGACTCCACTACATTTATTTTACAGTTTTAATTACAAGTTACTTTACGATTTTACATACAAATGAAAGCATGAGTAATAATTAGCCAATAATATATGACGTATAATAATATATAATAACACTCACAGTGGACATTCCTTCTTCACACTGAGTATGTTTGATTCATTCAGTACATTTAGAACTTTTACCTGTAGGCCTACAGAGTATTTTTACATTGTAGTTTTTGTACTATGACATTTTAAGTAAAGTATCTGAATACTGCTTCCACCAATGCCTTAGGTATGTCTTAGATGATGAGTACACAAGCTCAGCAGGTTCCAAGTTTCCTGTTCGCTGGTCACCTCCTGAAGTTCTCCTCTACTGCAAATTCAGCAGCAAGTCGGACATATGGGCATATGGTGAGTAAACACAACTTACAGTATGTTTTTCAATTCTGACTGCCCATTCTCTACTGCATTTCTGGTTAGTTATTATAAGTGTGTCTAAATGTCTTCACAAACTAGGAAATCACTGTATTAAAGCAACATAACTATTGTTCATCTCATTAACTTTTCTGTATCCTTAGGGGTTCTTATGTGGGAGGTGTACACTTTGGGAAAGCTTCCATATGAACGTCTTAACAACACGGAAATAGTGGAACAGGTGTCCCGGGGCCTGCGCCTCTACCGCCCCCAGCTGGCCAATGAAAAGGTCTACAACATAATGACAAGCTGCTGGTTTGATGTAAGTGAATGTCTTTTGTGTTGCAGGCCTCAGTAGAGATTATGTCAATGACCCTGTGCAGAATGTATAAGCATATTTTCTGAACACTGATCTCACAGCTTCTCTTTGTTTTGTTTTCAGAAAGCAGATGAGAGACCTGCCTTTGAGGAGTTGGCTCTGACTGTTCAGGATTTGCTGTATGAGCTCCAATAGATATCAAAATAACTTAATAATAGATAACAAAATAACACAATAACACACACACACACACACACACACACACACACACACACACACAGTGTAGCATCTCCGTATGTCCCTAGAAAGTTAACACAGTCATTAAAAAAGTTGAACATCGGATTGCACAGCCACACTGAGATCCTCTGTAATGTGAATATGTGTCACTATAACTCAATTATTAGAATAGCTGCATTTTTAGAAGTACCTACTGTCCTACAGACTAGCAATTTCAAATATGTATATTTTATTGGAGATTGTTGTATTCTGTGTATTGTATTATGTGGAATCATTGTAAAATGTAGACACATTTGCATGTGGAAACAAGCTTTGTGAGAAAATATCTATTGCACAAATAAAAGCCAAGTATGCAGGGCTTTGAAGTGACTGAAATGTGAAATGAAAATGTCAAAACATCTGATTGAGCTGTTGTTCTCACTCTAATCAAATATGAAATGTGTTTTAATGCAACGACACTGCCTTTGCATAAGTTTGTATTGGCTTTATTAGTTCAATTAAATAATATATTATTCATTGAATATGGCTGTTACGGAAACTTACGTTTGTATGATGACGAGCGCCTTCAGAAGAACGTGCTCTGTGATTGGTTGAAGTACTTCCTTTTTCCCGTCGTCCATACATACACGTGAAGGTCAGCAATAGAGCCATAAAGAATTCATAATTAGGAATATATTACTTTTAGGACCTCTTTTTAGCGAACTATGGACGCCCAGGGAGCGACCGCAGACCCTCAGCTTCAGCACTTCATCGAAATCGAGTCTCAAAAACAAAGATTTCAGCAGCTGGTGCATCAAATGACTGAGGTTTGCTGGGTAAGATCAGCTTTAAGCTAGCAGCGCAGCTCTGCAAGTTGCTTGTTAGATATTTGTGTGTAACTATAACTGATAGCTATCTAGCTTGTCTTATATGAACAGAAACGTGTTTTATTTGCTGTTATAAAAATAATGGTGTCCGAATTAATTAGGTAGACCCATTGGTGACCCCAGCACTCCGTATGTCTCCGGGATTTTAACGTTACATAGCATTCCCTACGCAAATCCTAAGGGAGGAAACGTAATTTGTTTCCACTTTTCGGGCCTCTTGTTTTCCAGTGTTCGTGATCCTAGAGATTTCTACTGTCTTACCTGAACGATAAAATGTTTGCACAACAAGTTTAAATATTTCCTTCCTACTGCGATGGCCACTAACAACCCAAGAGCAACACGTCGGTGTTTAGAAATGTTGGATTTAAACATTGTTTTTTTTTGTCTATGGAAAACATGGCATTATACCGGCCTGAGTAAAGACATATGTAAGATCACGAAAATACATTTGGGGACGTAGCCTGCTGCTGTAACGCTTCTAAAATACAGTAACACCACCCTTTAGTGTTTGCAATTTCAACGCTATGTGACCTTATGTACTACTACTTGTAATACCTTGCATCAACCGTTGCACCTTGCATCAACCGTTGCACCTCGCCTGAAGTGGTCTGTCTATCTCTAGGAGAAATGTATGGACAAACCCGGGCCAAAGCTGGACTCAAGGACAGAAGTGTGCTTCGTTAACTGCGTGGAGCGATTTATCGACACCAGCCAGTTCATCCTAAACAGACTGGAACAGACTCAGAGGAGCAGGGGCGGCTTCTCCGAGGCCATATCGGACTAAAAACGACTCACTGAAAAGACACATGGCACGCAGGCAGTTCCTGCTCTGTGAGGAGGCTGTTTGGAAATGCAGAACTGTCTCTTCAACTGGAAAAAGTGTTACTTTTCATATAAGTGCCTGAGGTTAACACCATGGATGGACTCATGCAGAAGTCAAGGGTTTTATTTGTCCTCCATTAAGCAGAATATGAGTGTTACAAAGTGTTAAGATTCTGGTCTGTTGTCAAGTCAGTCCACTGATCAAACTGAGCTGCGTTAATATCCACTGATGTAACTAGTGGGTTTGCAAGTGTGGGAGACAGCAGAAAGACGGATGCATCTGGGACATTCAGCTTGCCAGCTGTTTTTGACAGCCACAAGGACCACGGCACACTCTGCTGTAATGTAAGAGAACCAGTGCCCATGACTGAAGAGGTTCAGGACTGTACATATGCAATAAACAAAATGCCAGATAATTCTGTCTATCTTTTGGAATAGTGTGTATTTAAGTAATGTTGTAATTATGTTTTAATCAGCAATATCAAACACACAAACTACAGTTACATTAGATATGTTACAACTTGGCACATGTTGCAAATTCATTTTTATAGGGTAAGAACAATCTTTGGTGCTGTTTTTATATAATAATACTGAGGTATTACAGGAACTCATCAGAGGAATTATTCAATCTTGTTCATCAACAACATGTGATTGAAATGCATTCAGGGCTAATCACATTTTCTGGCTTTACAATGAGTTGCAATATATTACATTTTTACAATAAGGTTAAAAGTGCAAAACTATGAATAAGGTCATTGTTTTCAGTAACAGAAGGCAGGTAATAATTTAGCTTATACAGGCTAATAATATTCAACCTTTACTCAATATACTGTAAAAGAAAACACACAGCAGTGCAACAGACATTCCCATTGATAAAAAACATACTACCGATTAACATTATGTTCTGTCTTTTTTTTTAACCAGAGGAAAAAGATGTGGCGGCTTTTTATATAAAATCCAGTGTGCTGACATTAAGCTCACTTTGGGCAACTTTGTTCATCCAATGCTTACTGCATTGTGTAAAACAGACTTGAAATTCAGATTTAGTAAACTAACTTGTCACCTTGTAAAACTGTGATGTGTATTAAATCTTCAGAATTGCAATAAGCAATTTAAAGTAGTAACAAGATTATTGGTCCTAGTTAAGGAGCTCTTTGGTGTGTACCCCATCCCCCCTTTGAGCCTCCTTCTCTGGGCAGCTTCATTTCATCCTCTGCTTGGTTGTCATGGCTAGGAAGAGCCACATAAGGCTGGTGCCCCCATGGAAAGCCCTGAGGGCCCTTCCTTAGGTAGAGTGGGAGGGAATCCAAGCTAAATGTAATGTCCTTGAAGGCATGAAGGAGGAATATCCCCAAAATGATGGTGAGGAACCCACTAATTGTTCCCACTACTCCGTCAGTGGTCATACGCAGCCACTCCTTGAAGAGGATGGCTGAGCAGGCCATGACAGATGTAGTGAAGAAGACGTAGTAGATGGGAGTAACTAAGGAGGTGTTGAAGATGTCGAGGGCTTTGTTCAGGTAATTGATCTGAACGCTGACACAGATTACCAGGCAGATGACTAAGGACCAGAACAAGGGTTCCTTCAGCACTGCTGTCCCAGCAAACAGCCCCTTAATGCCAATGCCCAGGCCCTTGACACAAGACACAGAGAGGGAGCCGATCACAGAGCAGATCAGGATGTAGACCATCACATTCTTCTGTCCAAACCGTGGAGCCACAGCAAAGATAAGAACCAGGCTGCTTCCCACAACGCACACAGCAAACACAATGAAACCTAGCGGAAGCATTCAAGAATTTGTTAGTATCCTGAAAAATGTCCATTCAGCCATTATGAGTTTGGGATTCAGTTTGCACAGCACGGTTAATGGGATCACACTGATGAAGGGCTGGTCCTACCTGGGTCTCTGAGCTTCTCAGCCATGGCAGTGAGGGAAGCAACCTCCTCTTCCTGCGGGGCATGGATCACCATCACTGTGGAACCCAAGACGCAAAGCAAACAACCAATCTTCCCGTGCACGTTCAGCCTCTCATTCAGAAAGTAAGAAGAGAGCACGGCACTGGAAGGAAAAACAAATGATGCAGACAAAGATAGTTAGCACAAATGATGCTATTACATATTAAAAGGCAATGTCTGGTGGTTGATTTCCAACTAATATTACTTTTACATTTTGAGGCCAATCAAAAAGACTGAGAGGGAAAAATTACTCTTGTTGAGCTGCTCACAATGCTTGTCCACAATAAGGCCCTATCCTGTGATAAAGGGTAAAAATATTAATTTAATATATTAGAGTATTTACATCACCAGGATGGTGTATATGAGACCAGTCCCAAAATAAACAGTCAATGGCAATGTTCATTGTAATGAAGGAACATGCCACCCAGTGCAACAGTGTGACTCACAAGTGTTTTTTTGACAACAACGGAGGTCTACACCACAGAGGAATAAGCTATATTAGGCTTTGGCTTTTCATATAATAGTTGTTAGTGGGACCAATTCATTGTTAGTTTGGGTCTTTTCATGGGATTTATTGATAATAATAAAAAATGAATATCACTTATTTCTGATATCTTTATTTACTTATTTCTCTTATCTTCAAAATAAAACTGGCATGACAAAGACAATTACCTTACAAGTACACTCAATGCTCCAAGAGGAGTCACCAGTGTGGCCGGAGCAAATGCATATGCAGCAAAGTTGGCGGCCTCTCCAGCTCCCACTAGACAACACAAACATGACCATCAGTGTCATATTAATAGCGGTTTGCAGCTGTTTAAACACTGAAAATGTATTCTCTTCCAACCCACATGTGCAAATGTGCTCTTTGGAAAATTGTTCACTTCAAAGATATGGTGTGGGTGTTGCATCTACTGCTGCAACGTCACCAGCAAAAAATACCAAACCCACAGGAGCCTCCCCTTGAAAAACAAAGACCCAATGTTTCTGGAGCATGGCTGGTGAGCAGCATAACCAAGTGAAAAGAAAACAGCTGACCATGTCAACCATTTTGCAAAATTAAGGCTGTAAATCATTAACTTACTTGAAATTAGTCCTGCCCACCACAGCCATTCTTTCAGGTAAGCATACCCCCCTTGACCTGTGACATACAGAAAACAAAACTGGATTATATTGCCAAGTAACAGTTACGGGTTTCTTGCTTAAAATAATTCCTCACTGATTTTAAATTGGAGGATCATTAGCTTCTTTTACCAAGGCACATCTTAAAAAAACTTCTTTAATCCCAATAAAAGTCCTGTTTAGAGTTATTGGTCATTCACTTCTACTTTAATTGAGTAATTAAATACTCCACTGCCTTTCAGAGGGAAATACGGTACTTTTTATTCCACCACATTTATCAGACAGCTACAATATATAACTTTAATATGACCATCTTATAAAATATGATTCAATGTTGTAGATTAAACTATCCATCAATTTATAAATTAGTTGAAATCAGCAACACGTCCACCAGCTACAATAGCAAACTGTTTCTCACACAGCAATACATCAGTACTTTAGATACTGAGAACTTTTTGATCATGACACTTCCATACTGCATCCAGTTTGAATGCAGGACTTTTAAATGTAGCCTTATTATAGTATTATGGTACTGTCAGTTTATTTCTTTAGTACTAAACTAAAGGTTTAAATAAAAGTGTTGAGTAAAAAAGAACAAGTTAAAAACATTTTTAATAAAGTTTACCTGCTCGCATTGAACCCTTGCTGGCCAATCGCAGCAGGCCTTTCTTCTTCAGGATGAAACTTGCGCCGATAAAAGCGCTGGAGCTCACAGCCAGTGAGAGACCGATGTAGAAGTCCAAACGGTTCACTTCCATCTGGAATATTGAATAACACAAAACGTCGTTCATACGCTAAAACAAATGAACTTCTGTGAGAAGCGAAGCTTTCGACAACTTTTCAGGAGCAACAGACAACCCATGTTTAAAATCACATGATAGGCTGACTCTCTCTTTCGACGAGGCTAAAACTAGCTTTTTAGACTGCTACAGATGTCAGCAAATCGGAAGCAAACTACTTCTCTCTCTAAGTTTTGATTTAGATAATTCTATTTCACTATTTAAATGACGCTTGGCGTTACAGTTTGCGAAATGTTTTACCTCTGCTGTCACGTCAACCCCATTCGTCGTCGTAAACTGACTCCAGGAAGTGAAGCAGCTGATTGGCTGGCCGTCACCCCGGTACTTCCTGGTTATTGTGTAGGAAACGGTAAAGAGGGCGGGAGGCTTCTCTCTAATCCTGTCCGTATGTTATACCTATACTCTTTCTATAGGATACTGTCTGTGGTCCATATTATAACGTCTATGGTTAATACTATATCAGTACTAGGCAACATCAGTGGAGCTGAGGTGGAGCAGGTGAACAGTTTCAGGTTCCTGTGAATCAACATAACAGAGACCCTGACATGGTCAACTCACTTCTCAACGCTGGTGAAGAAAGCTCAAAAACGACTGTATTTCTTAAGGAAGCTTAAGAAGGCTAAATTCCCATGCCAAATTCTTGTCAGCTTTTACAGAGGAGCGACAGAAAGCATCCTGATTGGAACATCACCAACTCGCATGGGATGTGCACGGCCCAGGACCGGAGGGCTCTGCAGCGGGTGATTTAAAATGCTCAGAAGATCACTGTTACCCATCTCCCGAGCGTCAGTGATATCGATGAGGGGAGGTACAGAGCAGAGCCCAAAGGATACTAAAGGACAGTCCCAGACACAGCCTGTTCACCCTGCTGCCTTCTGGGAAGAGATATAGGCCTAGAAATAACCGCTGCCGCACCACCAGACTGCTCCCCTGCTCCCACTGTGACACATATGTTAAAGAATATATAGAATACATTTTAACAGTGTTACAAAGGTCACATTTTTTCATTTAAGAAACATTGCCAGAGTTAGACCCCACCTTGCCTTGGAAGATGATAAAAAGTTGTTACATGCTTTTGTTTTTTCACGGTTGGATTATTGCAATGCCCTTTTTACTGGTATACTCAAAAAATATATTAATAAGCTACAACTAATTCAAAATGCGGCAGCAAGAGTTTTAACTAAAACCGGAATGAGAGAACACATCACTCCAGTTTTTGGCTACCTGTAGCATTTAGAATTGATTTTAAAGTTTAAAGTGATTTTAAACTTTTACTTGTTTTTAAAGCACTTCATGGTTTAGCACCTTCTTATCTATCTGACCTTTTATCGAATTATGTTCCAACTCGCTCTCAGGTCCTCTGATGCTGGTCTTCTTAATGTCTGAAGAATGAACAGTAAAACATTTGGCGAAGCAGCTTTCTGTTATTATGTACCAATGGCTTGGAACAAACTCCCATTACAAATAAGAGAAGCAACCTCTCTTGATAGTTTTGAGAAGCAGCTCAAGACCTACTTTTATGCCTTTGCTTTTAACTGATTATAGTTATTCTTTTGCTTTTGCTTTTATCTGCTCTTATATATTGTATTTATTTCATACTGTAGCCGTGGCTGCTACCCTTTCCCAGTTTTAATACCTGTGTTTTTGTGCTTGTGGATTATTTACATGTTATTGTATTGTATGTTTTATTTATTTATGTTTGAGCTGCATTTTATGTATGAAAGGTGCTATACAAATAAAGATTGTTATTATTAAGATTAATATTCTTAGCGTTCTTAATTGATGTAACAAGGAAAGGTAAGACAGGTCTAGCTTGAAGTCATTAGCTGACCCTACAAGTATTCACTGACCTTCCAGCTCTAGTTATTACTCACATGTAACTGTCCTTGTTGTAGGGAGACAACAGACTGATAAGGTACAGACAGCAGCTCGGGAGTCAGGCTAGCAGAGATCTTGTTCTCTGGGACTGGCAAGGTTGAGTCTTAAAATAACTTACTGGCTCCACGTCCTAAAAATGTAAATGTAAACTATAACTTGAGGATCGGTTTAGCCTAATGTGTTACATCTCTAAACCTGCAATCATATTCAAGATGAATTGGTTAAGAAATGTATCCCTATTCCGTGTCACCCTCTATCTTATGATAAAACTTAGTAATAAATGTACAAAACATGCTTAACTAATGCAGCCTATAAAACTATATTATATCCCATGTTTGCATTATTAAATAACAATCAATACATGTTCTATAAAAGCAAAACCATGTATTTAAATAATTGGATTAGCAGCAGCAATAACTTTGTCATAACTCTATTCATATGAACATTTGTGGTAATCTTTATGCATAATGAAAAGCTCTTTGAGGTTAAAGAAATTACAATCAACAAAAAACAGTGACATTAAGCTTATTATACTCGCTTTTCTGCAGAATGGCTCACTATGGCAAATCCCCAGACTCTGTATTGAAGGAATACATTACTAGAAGTGTAACAATTTGCATATGACAAGGACCATTAAAATGTACTAATGTCTATCATCCTAAACTATCTAGTAGTGGTCAACACAGACCAATCAGAGTACGGTCTAGACATCCTCTATATGAAAAGCACTGTGAGATCACTGTTGTTGTGAATTGGCGCTATATAAATAAAATTGAATTGAACATAATTATTTATTATTATTATTTAAACAGACCCAAATAAGAAATAGGTTAAATCAAAGTAAATATACAGATATTTCTCCTCTGTGGGTTAAAATAGAATCAATATTACACACAAAAAGGCATGCTTTTATGTGTTTTTGCAGAATTATGGATGATGGTATAAAACATATTTGTATGTATGAAATAGTATATTCATACATCAAAAACAACAACCTCCCCAACTTCCCCTAACAATCTAAAACAGAAAAAAACAAATGTGCTCTTTTCTGAAAACAATATGGAGCAAATTTGATGTGTTTATTTCTTGGTTACATTTTTTTGTATTATTCATGTCTTACAGCCATGTGCTTCCTTCTTCTCACATTGTGCATCTCCCGTAAACATTTTCCTGCTTGACTAGTTTAAAACTTCATGACAAGACACCTTTAATACTGATAGCGTCTGAAAAATTAAACCAAACTGACTACTTTGGCAGATCATTGCAAAGAGTCCAAGCAATCTGATAGGTGGTTGGTGTTTGTTGCACACTATGCAGGGTTTTGATTGGACGAGCGAAACCGGAAGAAGCGGCAACCTTGACAAGCGAGCAAAACACATGCGCTGCTGGTCAACGAAATAGCTTAAAAAATGATTCTTGCCAATTTACCGGAAAATATTTGCTAGGACTACTAAGAGCGTTCATTAATCTTTCAGATGCGTTTCTCTTCTGGGAAAACGAAAATATTTTAGCTAGCTACATGAATGGCTAGCACTTACCAAACCATTACTAACTTCCTCTCCCTGGACTAAATCATTTGGTGCACTTTATGTAGGCACCGCCTGCCATCCAGCGATGAGGACCCCGTTTGTGTTTGTCACCAGAAGCTGTAAGGCTGTTCACAGACTTCAACAAAGCCCATTTTTCTCACCAATTTCAGCTCTATCGAGACACCACAGGATGGCTGTGTTGAGATACACAAGCACCCACTTCTGCAAAGACGACAGGAGCTACTTCATAACCACTCCCATCTTCTATGTCAATGCTTCTCCTCATTTAGGACACTTGTATTCAGCTGTGATAGCTGACTGCTTACACAGGTATAAGCTACTTCAGGGCTTCAACTCAAAGTTTGCAACAGGTAAATCCTCCATTGACTCCAAAATATACTGTGTGTATGTTATTGCAAATGCTTTTGTGATGTCCACAATATAGGAAGTATTGTCACAGCATAAATCTCTACATTATACTCATCTTAAGATGTGATGTGAGATGTGGGACTTTTTCTGTTTAATATAATTGTAAATTCAATATATTTTTGTTTTGGACTGACTGAGAGTCATCTTGGCCTTTGGGAAATTTGGATGGGCACTTTTTAAAACAAATCTTGAAATTTTATAGACTAAGTGAGTCATTGATTTATCAAGCAAATAGTAGTAATAATAATACACCATATTATCTGGTATTTCAGGCACAGACGAACATGGCTTGAAAATCCAACAAGCTGCTGAAGCTGCAGGAAAGGATCCCCTGACCTTCTGCACTGATGTGTCTGAGAGATTCAAACATCTCTTCAGCAGCTGCAGCATATCATATACAGACTACATAAGAACCACTGAGCAGAGACACAGCTGGGCTGTGAAGCATTTCTGGTCAGTGCTCTGGAACAAAGGGTTCATCTACAAGGGGAGCTACGAAGGCTGGTACTCCACCCAAGATGAAAGCTTCCTCATGCCATCGCAGGTGGCCAATGCTTTGGACTCATCAGGGAAGGAGATCAAGGTATCGCTGGAGAGTGGACACAAGGTAATTTACATAGTAAATTGCACAGCATAAATGTGATTTTATTGGTGATGAATGAATGCAAACATTAAAGGTGCTCTCCACCGATTTGACACATTAAGGTTGGTTTACTCGTCATGGATAGTGCTACTCAGGCTGGGAAAACAGTTAATATAATGTATTCTGTGGTTCTAGAAGAGCTTTCTAAAGTCTAAGAAAATTACCTTTGGGTCTTTACCAGGTAGGGTTTAACAAAAAGGTGCCATTGAGTTGCATTAAGACAAATCTAGAATTCAGTGTTTTGTCAGTTTCAGGGAGTAAATGGGATATCTCAGCCACTGATACTACAATTTTGACTATTCATGTTTTTAATTTGTCTTCCAAGTCCCCAAACTTTATATTAAGTCCAGTTCTAAATTGCTGGAGTGTTCCTTTAAAGGAATAGTTTATAACTTTGGGAAAATCATTTTCTTTCTCGACCAGGGTTAGATTGATACCATTCTCGTGTTTGTTCAATGTCTGTAACAAGTGAATTTCCCCAGAGTTGGATAATTGTATTCTATCTTATCTCAATATAAAGCCATATCCAGGAGCCTGTTAGCTTAGCTTACCTCAAAGACAGGATGGCTACAGGAACCACTACCCTGGCTCTGTCCAAAGAATTGGCTGCCTACCAGCCCCTCTAAAACTTAAAAAAAAGTTGTGGGTTTACACCGTGTTATGTTCCAGACTATTTCTTGGGAGGAGCAGTGCCTTCGTGTCAATGTGAGGTTGGCAACCAGCAGAGAGTCCAGG